CAGTGAGAGGTCCGTGTACCGCAAAAAAAAAAAAAAAAAAAAAAAAAAAAGAATGTCTTGTAGCTTTTTTGGTCGATCCATTTCATTTTAAATAAAACTTCATGAAAAATATCATCTTTTATTTCCAAGTAGTATGAGCAAGAGTCAAGTCTCTTTTTCTCTCTCTTTGTGTCATCTCCTTGCAAAGCCTTATTCCAACTCTCAGACTTGCACAGCCCTCAGTCCTTCCTAAGCTTCACCCAGGCTCAGGCTCAGTGCGGCCCAGGAATGGGATAACACTGCTTGATGCATGCACTTCCTGGCAATGCAAAGGTCACAGAAAGTTAATGGTTGTTCTTGAAGGCATCATAATGATAATCCTGCATCCTAATGGTGACATCAAAATGACTACATCCAAGCCATGTGCCTGGTCTATATATTTGTATTGGATTGCATCATATGAATTTACATTTCAATTTAAACATTTAAAATTACAAACATGGCAATTTTATATCGTTCAACTTAATACATCATGGCCGCAAAGATGAAAAAAGATAAACTAATTTTTAATCAGTGTGTTCGTTATATTTTGAAATAATACACTCAGTAGATCCTTCTTCAATCTCCAGATACCTTTGCAGGGGAAGCACCTCTAAATTTAAAGCAATGGGTTCACTTGTTAATCTGAAAGAGTTCAATAAATGTACTATTTTCTCTTTATTTCCAGACTTAATGAACACTCTTGAGTGCATTTATTGTACTTTATCTAATTAACAATTGAACCCATTTCTTTAAATGCAGGTGCACTCCATCTAAAAACATATTAAGTGTATTATCGGAAAGTGCAACTATTTAATATATTATTTAAATATTTAAAATTATTATGTTACTGTTTTTAAAAGTAAGTTCATTCTATGTTTCCCAACTAGATACTGCTGGACACCCTAGAATGTCATTAAGGTCAGAGCTTGGTTTATTGGGCTCTGATAGATGTCATGACTGGATTCACCATCAATGTTACTCTATTAGATCAAGGCTAATAGTTGCAGAGTAACTATCCCATTATTCCCTCCCATCTGTATAGTCATGGATCACCTTTTTGTTTTACTGTGTTTCTGAGAGTGAGCAGTTCCCACTTAATCGTAAACCCTATTTAGCCTTTGTTTAAATTCTAATCACTATCTCGCTATTTTGTAAGGGTAAAGACTGATAGAAGCCTGAAAATAAGTTAGCTAAACAAGAGTGATCCTTTCAAAACATGTAAGACCATGGCATTTCTCTGCTCAAAGTCCTCCAAGGACCCCAACTTATTTGGCATGAAAGCTGAAGACTTTACAATTCCTTTCAAGGCCCTGCATCATCTGGCCCTGTGACCTCTCTGACCCAGCTTCTATCATTTCCTCTCACTTGCCTTCTCCCTAGTCTTCAAATACACTGGCACACTCACACCTCAGGGCCTTTGCACATGCACTTTCCCTATTTTGCCAAGTGGCTTGCTCCCTTCAGATCTCTACTCAGACATCACTTTTTAACTGAGGCCTTCCCTAACCACCTCAGTTTAAAATTTCAGTTCTTACCCTCAGCACTCCCTATCTTCTTTCATTCTTTTATTCTCCATAGCACTTATAACCATCTGATATATTCTATGTATGTATGTATGTGTTTATTTACTTATTGCCTATTTCCCCCTAACTAGAATGTTAGCTCCATGACGATAGAAATTTTTTTCACTTTTTTTTTTTTTTTTTTTGGCGATACCTGGGCCTCTCACTGTTGTGGCCTCTCCCATTACGGAGCACAGGCTCCGGACGCACAGGCTCAGTGGCCATGGCTCATGGGCCCAGCCACTCCGCGGCATGTAGGATCTGCCCAGACCAGGGCACGAACCCGTGTCCCCTGCATCGGCAGGCGGACTCTCAACCACTGCGCCACCAGGGAAGCCTGGCGATAGAAATTTTTGTCTTATGTGTTAATTGCTCTATTGCTGGTACCTAGAAGAGTATCTGGCACATAGGATATTCTCTATAAATGCTTGTCAAATGAATTGGATGAATGAATGAATGTCAGTGAATCTTTGATTTCATTATAGACAATAGTCCTCCAAGGGTAATTTTCAATTATTCACTCAAAGGTAGCTTTTTCTTTTGAGAACAAACAAACAGCCTTGTTTTTCAGTAGGTTAGGGAATAAAAGATACATTAAGTATAGGAAATAGTAATACTTTATCTTGACAATGAGTTAAGCCACAGGAAAATAAGCTACATCAGCATAGCGCCAACAGAATTTTACTTCATATAGCAGATTTTCTCTGCTCTGTGATGATACTTAAGTACATATGATTTTCTTTATGATAAACAAAATCATGAAATCTAATTTATATATTTATTTTTTAAATGGATTCATGATATTCAATATCGAGATAATACAAAGTGAACATAAAACTGTCTAATTACATTTTTGAACACCTATGTTTTCGGTATTCAATTAATTCAAAGAGGAAATTAACAATAGTTTCTCAATCTTTTAAAAGAGAAGAAAGAGAAAATACAAAGGGAAAACCTGGTTCACACGGAAGTGAATTATTTTCTTACCTTGATGTGCTGGATTCCACCCATGTTCATCCAGGCCTGTGCTTGATCTGGATTTAGTTCCACGGCCACTTTATAGCTCTAAATACATAAGAAATATCTTCAGGCTGGGAAACGAGAACCCATCTTTAACACTACAGATTGTGGAAACCATTTTCTTCATATGTGGAAATTTAAATGGTTAATAAAATGAACAGTCACTTCTAGTTCACAGGTGTCCCCTTTATTTCTATTATTTTTCGAAGTTGATGATTCTAAAGTGGAGGAAACTGAAATGTGTAATTTCCTTGCAGAGCTAACCTCTGGACTTAAAAAGGCTGAAGGTGCCTGCCAGGAGTCCAGGTGATTTCTATTACAGTGCATCATTTCCCACTGGCCTCGATCTGCAAGAAAATGGTGCTCTTCGGCCTTTTTCACTATAAATGGAGTTTGTAAGAAAATTTTTTTTATAATCACAGAACTTAGAGTAGTTTCTGAAACACCTTATATCTCTCACAAAATCTGATCTGATTACTCAGCCCATGCTTAAATTCTTGCAGAGACTGGTGTTCAGTATCTCTTTAAGGACATATATTTTACCAGGGGATAGTTTTAATCGTTAGAAAGCCTTTCTTTTTCTTCTGCCTTATAAAAGATCTTCAAATGTTTGAAGAGAGTTACTTATTTCTCAAATACTTTTTTTTGGTCTGAATAACATGTATCCCATTAAATGTCAGAGCCGTGAGGTATATTTTTAATATTTTGCCTGTTGTTTTGTGTCAAAGGGCATGCTCACCACTGAGTCATGATTTTAAGAGTGGTCACCTTAAATAAAACTAAAGGCTCAGCTGAAGCACGAAGAACTACAATCCTGCAGCCTGTGGAACAAAAACCACATGCACAGAAAGACAGACAAGATGAAAAGGCAGAAGGCTATGTACCAGATGAAGGAACAAGATAAAACCCCAGAAAAACAACTAAATGAAGTAGAAGTAGACAACCTTCCAGAAAAAGAATTCAGAATAATGATAGTGAAGATGATCCAGGACCTTGGAAAAAGAATGGAGGCAAAGATCGAGAAGACGCAAGAAATGTTTAACAAACAACTAGAATAATTAAAGAACAAACAAACAGAAATGAACAATATAATAACTGAAATAAAAAAATACACTAGAAGGAATCAATAGCAGAATAACTGAGGCAGAAGAACGGATAAGTGACCTGGAAGACAGAATGGTGGAATTCACTGCTGTGGAACAGAATAAAGAAAAAAGAATGAAAAGAAATGAAGACAGCCTAAGAGACTTCTGGGACAACATTAAAAACCACAACATTCGCATTATAGGGGTCCCAGAAGGAGAAGTAAGAGAGAAAGGACCCGAGAAGATATTTGAAGCGATTATAGTCGAAAACTTCCCTAACATGGGAAAGGAAATAGCCACCCAAGTCCAGGAAGTGCAGAGAGTCCCATACAGGATAAACCCAAGGAGAAAAATGCTGAGACATGTAGTAATCAAGTTGACAAAAATTAAAGACAAAGAAAAATTATTGAAAGCAGCAAGGGAAAAATGACAAATAACAAACAAGGGAACTCCCATAAGGTTAACAGCTGATTTCTCAGCAGAAACTCTACAAGCCAGAAGGGAGGGGCACGATATATTTAAAGTCATGAAAGGGAAGAACCTACAACCAATATTACTCTACCTGGCAGTATCTCATTCAGATTGGATGGAGAAATCAAAAGCTTTACAGACAAGCAAAAACTAAGAGAATTCTGCACCACCAAACCAGCTCTACAACAAATGTTAAAGGAACTTCTCTAAGTGGGAAACACAAGAGAAGAAAGGGACCTACAAAAACAAACCCATAATAATTAAGAAAATGGTAATAGGAACATACATATCGATAATTACCTTAAACGTGAATGGATTAAATGCTCCAACCAAAAGACACAGGCTCGCTGAATGGATACAAAAACAAGACCAATGGGGCTTCCCTGGTGGCCCAGTGGTTGAGAGTCTGCCTGCCGATGCAGGGGACATGGGTTTGTGCCCCGGTCCAGGAGGATCCCACATGCCGCGGAGTGGCTGGGCCCGTAAGCCATGGCTGCTGAGCCTGCGCATCCAGAGCCTGTGCTCCACAGCAGGAGAGGCCACAGCAGTGAGAGGCCCATGTACCGCAAAAAACCAAAACAAACAAACAAACAAACAACAAGACCCATATATATGCTGTCTACAAGAGACCCACTTCAGACCTAGGGACACATACAGACTGAAAGTGAGGGGATGGAAAAAGATATTCCATGCAAATGGAAATCAAAAGAAAGCCAGAGTAGCAATACTCATATCAGATAAAATAGACTTTAAAATAAAGAATGTTACAAGAGACAAGGAAGGACACTACATAATGATCGAGGGATCAATCTGAGAAGAAGATATAACAATTATAAATATATATGCACCCAACATAGGAGCACATCAATACATAAGGCAACTGTTAACAGCTATGAAAGAGGAAATCGACAGTAACACAATAATAGTGGGGGACTTTAACACCTCACTGACACCAATGGACAGATCATCCAAAATGAAAATAAATAAGGAAACAGAAGCTTTAAATGACACAATAGACCAGATAGATTTAACTGATATTTATAGGACATTCCATCCAAAAACAGCAGATTACACTTCTCAAGTGTGCAAGGAACATTCTCCAGGATAGATCACATCTTGGGTCACAAATCAAGCCTCAGTACACTTAAGAAAATTGAAATCATATCAAGCATCATTTCTGACCACAATGCTATGAGATTAGAAATGAATTACAGGGAGAAAAATGTAAAAAACATAAACACATGGAGGCTAAACAATATGCTACTAAATAACCAAGAGATCACTGAAGAAATCAAACAGGAAATAAAAAAATACCTAGAGACAAATAACAATGAAAACACGACAATCCAAAACCTATGGGATTCAGCAAAAGCAGTTCTAAGAGGGAAGCTTATAGCTATACAAGCTTACCTCAAGAAACAAGAAAAATCTCAAATAAACAATCTAACCTTACACCTAAAGGAACTAGAGAAAGAAGAACAAACAAAACCCAAAGTTAGCAGAAGGAAAGAAATCATAAAGATCAGAGCAGGAATAAATGAAATAGAAACAAAGAAAACAACAGCAAAGATCAAAACTAAAAGCTGGTTCTTTGAGAAGATAAACAAAACTGATAAAGCATTAGCCAGACTCATCAAGAAAAAGAGGGAGAGCACTCAAATCAATAAAATTAGAAATGAAAAAGGAGAAGTTACAACAGACACCACAGAAATACAAAGCATCCTAAGAGACTTCTAAAAGCAACTCTATGCCAATAAAATGGACAATCTGGAAGAAATGGACAAATTCTTAGAAAGGTATAACCTTCCAAGACTGAACCAGGAAGAAATAGAAATATGAACAGACCGATCACAAGTAATGAAATTGAAACTGTGATTAAAAATCTTCCAACAAACAAAAGTCTAGGACCAGATGGCTTCACAGGTGAATTCTATCAAACATTTAGAGAAGAGCTAACACCCATCCTTCTCAACCTCTTCTAAAAAACTGCAGAAGAAGGAAAACTCCCAAACTCATTCTATGAGGTCACCATCACCCTGATACCAAAACCAGACAAAGATACAACAAAAAGAGAAAATTACAGACCAATATCACTGATGAACATAGATACGAAAATCCTCAACAAAATACTAGCAAACAGAAGCCAACAACACATTAAAAGGATCATATAGCATGATCAAGTGGGATTTATCCCTGGGATGCAAGGATTCTTCAATATATGCAAACCAATCAATGTGATACACCATATTAACAAACTGAAGAATAAAAACCATATGACCATCTCAATAGATGCAGAAAAAGCTTTTGACAAAATTCAACACCCATTTATGATAAATACTCTCTAGAAAGTGGTCATAGAGGGAACCTACCTCAACATAATAAAGGCCATATACAACAAACCCACAGCAAACATCATTCTCAATTGTGAAAAACTGAAAGCATTTCCTCTAAGGTCAGGAACAAGACAAGGTTGCCCACTCTCACCACTATTATTCAACATAATTTTGGAAGTCCTAGCCTCAGCAATCAGAGAAGAAAAAGAAATATATGGAATACAAACTGGAAAAGAAGAAGTAAAATGTCACTGTTTGCAGATAACATGATACTATACATAGACAATCCTAAAGATGCCACCAGAAAACTACTAGAGCTCATCAATGAATCTGGTAAAGTTGCAGGATACAAAATTCATGCACAGAAATCTCTTGCATTCCTATACACTAATGATGAAAAATCTGAAAGAGAAATTAAGGAAACACTCCCATTTACCATGGCAACAAAAAGAATAAAATACCTAGGAATAAACCTACCTAGGGAGACAAAAGACCTGTATGCAGAAAACTATAAGACACTGATGAAAGAAATTAAAGATGATATCAACAGATGGAGAGATATATCATGTTCTTGGATTGGAAGAATCAATATTGTGAAAATGACTCTAGTACCCAAAGCAATCTACAGATTCAATGCAATCTCAATCATATTACCAATGGCATTTTTTATGGAACTAGACAAAAAATCTTAAAATTTGTAATGAGACACAAAAGACCCCAAATAGCCAAAGCAGTCTTGAGGGAAAAACAGCTGGAGGAATCAGACTTTGTGACTTCAGACTATACTACAAAGCTACAGTAATGAAGACAATATGGTACTGGCACAAAAACAGAAACATAGATCAATGGAACAAGACAGAAAGCCCAGAGGTAAACCCACACACATATGGTCAACTAATCTATGACTGAGGAGGCAAGGATATACAATGGAGAAAAGACAGTCTCTTCAATGAGTGGTGCTGGGACAACTGGACAGCTACACGTAAAAGAATGAAATTAGAACACTCCTTAACACCATACACAAAAATAAACTCAAAATGGATTAGATACCTAAAAGACAAGACACTATAAAACTCTTAGAGGAAAACATAGGAAGAACACTCTTTGACATAAATCACAGCAAGATCTTTTTTGATCCACCTCCTAGAGTAATGGAAATAAAAAGAAAAATAAACAAATGGGACCTAATAAAACTTCAAAGCTTTGGCACAGCAAAGAAACAATAAACAAGATGAAAAGACAACCTCAGAATGGGAGAAAATATTTGCAAGCAAATGAACGGACAAAGGATTAATCTCCAACATATATAAACAGCTCATGCAGCTCAATATTAAAAAAAAACAAACAACCCAATCCAAAAATGGGCAGAAGATCTAAATAGACATTTCTCCAAAGAAGACATACAGATGGCCAAGAAGCATATGAGAAGCTGCTCTACATGACTAATTATTAGAGAAATGCAAATCAAAACTACAATGAGGTATCACCTCACACCAGTTAGAATGGGCATCATCAGAAAATCTACAAACAACAAATGCTGGAGAGGGTGTGGAGAAAAGGGTACCTTCTTGCACTGTTGGTGGGAATGTAAATTGATACAGCTACTATGCAGAACAGTAAGGAGGTTCCTTAAAAAACTAAAAATAGAATTACCATATGATCCAGCAATCCCACTACTGGGCATATACCCAGAGAAAACCATAATTCAAAAAGACACATGCACCCCAATGTTCATTGCAGCACTATTTACAATAGCCAGGTCATGGAAGCAACCTAAATGCCCATTGACTTTCAAATGGATAAAGAAGATGTGGTACATATATACAATGGAATATTACCCAGCCATAAAAAGGAATGAAATTGGGTCAGTTATTGAGACGTGGATGGATCTAGAGACTGTCATACAGAGTGAAGTAAGGCAGAAAGAGAAAAACAAATATTGTATATTAATGCATATATGTGGAACCTAGAAAAATGGTATAGATGAACCGGTTTGCAGGGCAGAAATTGAGACACAAACGTAGAGAGCAAACATATGGACACCAAGGGGGGAAAGCAGCGGGAGGCTGGGAGTGCTGGTGTGATGAATTGGGCGATTGGGATTGACATGTATACACTGATGTGTATAAAATTGATGACTAATAAGAACCTTCTGTATAAAAAACAAAAGACACTTTCAAATGACTGGTAGAGGTAGTGTTTTAGGAGTTCAGAGGAAACAAGGTCACTAGGAGAAAGGATGGTCTGGAGGGCTTCCTGAGGGAGGACACAGGCCTGTGTTGGTAGATGAGTGGGAATCTGCAGGGGGTTGGGGTGGTGTGGGCACAATGTTACAGGATGTGTGGAACGCCAAAGCTCTTCAGGCACTAGTCCAGCTGAAATAGAGGGTTACTGAAGGCAAACAGAGAGAAAAAGAGCAAACGAGGGGAGGAGAGAGAGAGAGAGAAGCTGGTTTGAGGGCAAAATGCAGAATGCTTTAAACATCAGGTTCAAAGTGATAATTCAGAAAATAATGCAGAGGTATTGTGGAACTCCTAATAGTCAAAAACCAGAGGCTCAATTATAAAAAATTAAACTTATTATGTCAATTAATCAGAAAATTCACGCCACGAAACATGGCAACGATCTTAGCTTTTAATGTATATGCTTCATTAAAGATTGAGGGAGTATTAATTTTAATCCATGAATTTAATAACAATTTTATTAAGTCTTTATACCTCAAAAGCTTTGTCAAGAAGGTTCTGCTCTCTTAGTTGATTTCCTTTTGTGAAAAAAAGTTCAGATACAACTTTTGGGTCCTTTGGTTTCAGCTTCAGAGCCTTGTCTATAGCATCAAGTGCCTGTACAGTTTAGAAATTAAGACACAATAAATGTAGGTTAGATACAGAAAAACTAAGTTAAACGATAACATCTATACTTTTAGTTTCCTATGTATTAGCTAGTGTGGTGAGCGACAATCAGAACACATTTTTCATTTTCTCTGATGTTCTCATCAAGGAATAAAATAGCCCTGACAAAATAATTTCCCTGTACTCCAGGTTTCCTATTTACATTAGTGACAATGAAATGTCCACGATCACTTTTCAGGAAGGCCGTGTGATCCCATTGAAAGAAAACAAGATCTGAGGTCAGTTGTGTTGCCCTGGCCATGTGTCCAACTGGACCATTCCAACAGCCTCCTTTTAGGGCCCTGGTGCTCACTCTGCCCCCAGCACCTACTGGCCCACCCCCTGCAGCCAGAGAGCTCTTCAAAGCACAAATCTGATATGTTGCTCTTTTTCTTAAGACCCCAAAGCTTCTTCCAGGAAAAGGAACAAAACCCTTGCCCTGGTCCCAAGCCTTGGGGTTGAGTCCCTAGCAACCTTGGTGGCTACATCTCACAGGCGCCCTGCTCCCTCACGCCCATTCCTCAGACAGGCCATTTACTGTTGACACAGGGCCTTTGCATGTGCTTTTTCTTGCCTGGAACGCTATTCACTGCCCCTTTTTGCTTAATAACTCCTATTCATCACTCAGTCCTCAACTTCATATCACTCTGCAGGGAACCGAACCACCCAGACCACTCGGGTCCCCTGATTATATGCTCATTAGGGACCATGCTGCTCTTCACAACATCACTGGGCACAGCTATAATTCCACACTGGTTTTGTGATTACTTGCTCAATCTCTGTCTCCTCTTCGACTGTAAACTCCACAAGGACAAGGGCAATGTTTTTTTTTTTTTTTTTTCTCACACCACTTTATTCCCACTGCCCACCACAGTGTCTGGCATATAGCAGGCATTCAATAAATATTTTGTTGAATCAGTTCATGTATTTACTGGTCATGTGACTTTTAAAATGGAGATAAACAGGACAGTTGTAACACAGGGCCACTGACCTGCCTTAAAGGGTTGTTATAAAGAGTCTATAAAATATCTTTGAGGGAACATGGAAAATGATAAAGCATACAAATGTTAGTGTTTATCATTATCGAGTTAGCTGAAAACAAACTGAGATAATACCACATAAAATCTTCAGACCAAGGATGAACCAAGAAAATAGCGTCTCGAGGGGACATCTTAGGAATCAAGCAGGTATCTGAAAAGTGCCCAGAAGATACGCTCTGCCAACTGACGATGTTCAAGACTGCTCGGCCTTGTGAGCGTGCGGGCTGGAGGGTCATTCAGGTGCACCCCATTTTCTACCTGTGAACCCAAACGACTCCAAACAGTGTCCTCTCTACCTTGTCGTGCTGCTCCTGCTTGCTGTGGATAGCAGACAACAGGCGATAGCATTCAAGGCACCCAGTCTCCTCTGACACAATGTGATTGGTCATCTTTTCAGCTTCTTTTGTCTGACCCATCACGGCCAAAACCTGAGCCTGCGAAACCACAGTGACTTTGGCTTAGAAGGTACTTGGCTATCACCTTATCAAATAAAGCACTCTTTATCAAATAAAGCATTCAGGAAACACTTCCCACAAAAGTGCTCAGAATCGCTTTGTGACTCACAGAGAAGACTGACTTACCACAGTTTATGTTGTTTGTTTCTTTATTTAGGCATGTGCATGCATTTGTGTGTGAATGGCAGGAACATCAAAGCCATTCAGTGACTTGTGCCTTTTTAAAAAAGTTGACTGTGTCAAGAGAAATTTTTTCCTATGGTTTCAACAGAACACTGTGCTTATAACAAGATAACAAGTTTGTTTCACTGAAAACCTAAGGGAAAGGAAGAGTAATGATCCAAAATATTGTTGATATTAATTTTCCTGAATTTGATAGTTGTACTGTGGTTAGGTTAGACAATGTCCTTGTTCTTAGGAACTATTTGCTGAAGTATTTAGAAATAAAGGGTATGAGATCTCTAATTCTCAGATGGCTCAAGACAAAATATCATGTATTAATAATATGTACATGCACATACACATACCTAAATATGCACATACATATGTGTACATATACACACACATACATACATGAGAGGATGATAAACAAATGCATCAAAGTGCTAAAAATTCATCAATCTGGGTGAAAGAGTATATGGGAGTTATTTAAAATTCTTGCAAATTTTTGTAAGTTTGAAATTATTTCAAAACAAAAACTTAATAGTGTTTTTAGGGTCCATGTGTTTGGTGAATGGCTCTAACGTTGGTTATATGAATATTCATTAAATGGATATAGTATAGTGTTCTAGTTCCCGTTTTGAGGCATACTGACTACAGCTCCCTGTATTGCATGCCATGAGTCTATTTCCTACTCCATTTCCTTTCTTTTGTCCATCTGCTCACCAGTGCCAGGCGGAGTTCCCTTTGGGAAGGCTGAAGGGATGCAGCTTCCCGGTAAATCTGCAAAGCCTCTTCATATCTGCCAGTGTTGTAATATAGAGCTCCCAACGGTGATAATATCTCAGCTTTGCGTGTCACCTGCAAGGCGCTGAATTTTGAAAAAACAAATGGACAATTTTCTTCTAACAGGTACATCTCCAAAGGTTGAAACTTAGATTTAGGGACCACTGTACACGGTTTGAGACTCTGCTCCCACATGGTCGTTGTTTTTATATCAAGAAGAATGTTAAAAACAGATCACAGTGCCAGCCTCTGACTATAAGCATGTCTCTAGTGACCCACCAATACGTAAACTGAGCCCCAAGGATCTTTTCCATTTATGGTGATAGACTTGTTTTGATGTATGCACAGTTTTTCATCTAGATCCGTTTTCGAAATTTCTATTTGTGGTTTGGGTTGTAGTCCTTAGCTTCAACAGAAAACAATGGACTAACTAAAATGGGAATTAAATTCCAACCTTGGTTTAGCACTATGCTTTAACCAGCAGGCAAAAGAGTCATTAACTGGGATATCATTTATCCCCAAAGTGCCATTTATTGTACTGTTCTCTTTGGAGAGGAGAATCTGTATTGCCTGCATTGGCAAAATTTGCTAGTATTCTGAGAGCATCTGTTCCAAATAACTAAGAATTTGATGGCCAATTGCAGAGGTCTTAGGATGACTTACAAAGTGAAAAACAGGAACTTTACCGTTTGTACCATTCTTCAGCCACACTGTTGTCTCCCAGTGACCTGTAGAGTCTCCCCAGGTTCACCATGGCTACATGATGGCTCGGGCTAAGTCTGATGGCCTGTTGGTAATGGGTCACTGCCTTCTCTGGAGAGCCTGTAATCAACAGGTGGTAGGTTGGTAAGAGCAGAACATGCCTTAATTATAAAACACACAGACTTTTTTTTTTTTTTTTGGCTGCATTGGGTCTTTGTTTCTGCACACGGGCTTTCCCTGGTTGCGGTGCACGGGTTTCACATTGCGGTGGCTTCTGGTTGCGGAGCACGGGCTCTAGGAGCGCGGGCTCAGTAGTTGTGGCTCATGGGCTCTAGAGCACAGCCTCAGTAGTTGTGGTGCACGGACTTAGTCGCTCCACGGCACGTGGGATCTTCCCGGATCAGGGATCGAACCCATGTCCCTTGCACTGTCAGGCTGATTCTTAAGCACTGTGCCACCAGGGAAGTACCTAAACACATGGCCTCTTTAATTTCTCTTCTGATGATCTTTTTTTCCTACAGCCATACCACCAATTATTCAGTTTGTAAATTAGCTCACATTTTGGCTTCTCCTTGCCACTGCCTAACTTTGGATCATTTCACTATTCATTTTCACTTCCAAAGAAATTAGTAGTAAAAAAGCAGTAAAAACTAAAACCTGTTTCTTTTATTAAATCTATTATTTTAGTCAAACTGGTTTCTGGCCATTGCCTTAGTCAATATGATGTTTTGAGATTATCAGTGATTGGCATTTATGTAAGATATTGTTGCTTCTCATTATACAAAAAGTGGAATGGGCTGTTATAGAAAGAAAACTGTCCTGAAGTAATTTCTGAGGGTCTGTCACAATTACTATACCACAACCTAGTGATTGAGGCACTGCTTTAAATAAGCAGGCATCTTCTGTATTTTGAAAATCTCTTTTTAAATCATACATCTTTGTTTAGAGGGTATTTATTGAATGGGACTTTAAAAATAATATCACCTTGCATTTGTGCAATGCATTGTATATTTTAAAACACTAATTAAATGATCTCATGATTTTTGCAGGTATTTTGATCCTATTTAGCTGCATTTTGATAGCACTTAGTTGCCTCTTGGGATTTAAAAGATATTAAAAAAATATTATCACTTTACAGATACAGGCTCTAAAGTGCAAGAACATTAAGAAACTTGACAAAAATCCCAGGGGAAGTGAGAATAAAGGTCAGAACTACCATCAAGTCTCTCTAGTATGATAAGGTTCCCCAAAGCAGCTTCCTAGTGAAATTATATGTAAGTGAATGAATTGTGGACAAGTCTGAAGCTCTACATGGCAATGGAATGTTTATTACCCACACAGACATCTTCTCAAGTCTACCTTCTTTGAATGCAAGTTTGACTAGGAGGTGCCAAAAAAGACTACGTACGTAGAGGTCTATGTATAGGTCATGATAGGGAGAATTTCAGTAGTATAAAAACAGAATACAGTGGGAGTGGTAGGAAAATATAGAGGGTGGTCAGTGAGATTTTGGGGGGTTGGGAGTTGGGGTGGGATATTTTGTTGGTGAAGTAGAAGGAAGAGGGCTAGATCAGGCCAACAGGTGGTCTCTTCAATTTTTTGTTTGTTTTTAATCTTTGATACCTAATTTATTATTATGTTGCCAAAGAACCAGCAGGTGGCACTAAGAAACAATTTTACATGTGAAAATAAGGGATGTTTCCTAGGTGTATCAGAATGTAAATTTATGTCCTAAGAAACAGAAGGGCTTCAAATATCCTAGAAAATAAAAACCCTTTTGAGCATTTCATATGGACAGAATAATTAAAATCAAATTTTATTGCAGGGCAGGTAGTCTAATAGTCAACGAGAACAAAGCAGTGTTTTTGTATTAAATTCAAGCATCTTTTCATTCTTTACAAGTATTCATAACATGCCAACAGTACGTGGGGTACAAACCATCAAGAAAACAGAATTCCTGTCCAGTAAAGTTTTACATTAAATAAGGTAAAGTGTATTTTATATAGCACCTGTCCTATAAGGGTACTCTATCAATTATAATGGTACATTTTCTATAGTATGTATCACATAAAGAACAATGAAACAATTTAAGACTTTTTAATCGGCTGTAGAAAAGTATTTACCATCTGCCAGTAAATAGATTCAGAGGCAGGTTCTGCATCATTGTAGAGAACAGTTCATCATCATAGATTTATAAACTTGTATAAATGCTATTCAAAGAAGACTGTTGCTCATTAAATCATCAAGGCCACTTCCTGCCACCTGGGGAGATTTTCTTAGCAATCTGATTATAAGAACTGGCAGATTTTACTGAATTGAGCTTGAAGATTTAGAGAAATGACAGCCCCAAAGTACAATGTGACTGACAACGGTGTGAGCTTCCTGCCAAGCCCAGTGAATTCTACTTTTGAGGCATTATTGGGTGGTTGCCATTTAGCTTGATAGATAATATTATCTCATCTCCACAGAACAGGTTCTCTTTAATCTCGCTTACCAGTATCAACTAGGAAAACTCCATAGTTGTTGTGTAAGTCTGAGCTATCTGGGCAGTTCTTTATTCCAGCCTGGTATATTTCCTCAGCTTCCTTAAACCTCTCCTTTAAAAGAGAACAAAGAAAAATACATGAGAAAGTTTTTTTAAAAAATCAACAATAAACTGAATAATGGAAGTGGGAAGAGCAGAAAATAATTTACTGAGCATCTGTTATGCAACAGGGGCCAAGATCAAACACTATGTACTTTTTTTTTTTTTTTCTTGCAGTACGCGGGCCTCTCACTGTTGTGGCCTCTCCCGTTGCGGAGCACAGGCTCCCGACGCGCAGGCTCAGTGGCCATGGCTCACGGGCCCAGCTGCTCTGCGGCATGTGGAATCTTCCCAGACCGGGGCACGAACCCATGTCCCCTGCATCGGCAGGCGGGCTCTCCACCAGTGCACCACCAGGGAAGTCCAAACACTATGTACTTTGAATTAAAGTCAGTGCCAACTGCACACATACCAAAGACTCATACTAGTGTTTAGCTCCTTCAGCGCAAACCAGCTGATGTTTACTAAGAAGCAGTATCTGGAAGGATTTGCCCTACAGTTGGAAAAAGCCTCAAAATGGATATTTGAATGGGATGCCCTCCACCCCAGTAACTCTCTGGACGAAAATACGTGTGATTCATTCATATAGGAATGCCTTCCGAGGTGGCAATCTTACTGGGAGATAGGGAGGCCTGGCTAGTTGACACGGCTGCATTTGCATAGCTAGCTCTCTTACCTATACTGTATGATTTATTTGGGGAGGTTTTGGGAAGGAAGTGGGAGGGGAGGCTGATGCTGATTATGGGAGGGGTTTGCCTTATCCTTTCTTTACTCTAAATATTTCTGTAGTCCACCAAACCATCTGTTACTTCCCTTATCACCCCGCCCTTTCCACCTCTGAGCTGTTCCCTCCAACAGGAATATAGGGCCCCTCAAAGGCACACCTCCAACTCCTCCCTTTGTGGCAAGGCCCAGATCAATTGCCACAGCCTCAGTGGATCTTTTTCTAGTTGCTTTGGTCTTCTACTCTAACAATCCACTTTAACACACTTCAATTATTCTGAATTCGTATTTAGGCACATTTTCCACAAACATCTGAGATTGTCATGTCACACTTTCTTTTACAATGTATAAGGTAACACCTAATTAATGAATCAAATGAAATGAAATCACCCAGGTTCTAACAATTACTCACAAGTAAACCATTTCCTAGTTTCCTAGTACTGCTACGAAGGTCAGGTGAAAGGCAATGGTTTGGCATAAATCACAAAGCAACTTTTCCTTTCATGTGCTCTGATCATGGACACCGTCCATAATTTTATCAGAAGTTACTACTACTAAGCATTCAACCAGACACATGAAAAGAGAATGTACAGCATCATTTTTCTCAGACCTGACACCTTGAGCTTCTGAATAAAAATGCCCTGAGTGCTTAGCAATAAGCCAAGAAGCCTAAATCTGATTTGACTCAGAAAGGCGAAGACACTTGACTCTCTGTGGAATGACCAATGCCATCTCTTCAAATCCACATATTTAAGTACCATTTAGGGAACAAAGTGTGGTTTGAATTTGGCAAATTTCTCTTATTTGAATTAGAAATCCATAGTCCAGCAAAAATGGATTTCCATGTTTCTAAAAGTGTGTTTTCCAGTTGCCAAGCTCAACAAACTGTCAAACTCAAAAGAAAATTAGAGATGAATGAAAAATCTCAAAATGTCTTCTTTCAATCTACTGAAGAAAAGAAAAACTTTCTGAAGGTATCACCCACTGTAGATCTAGCAAATTGGTGAGTGTGCATGCGTGTGTTTTAAAGGAGACAGGCAAGACACAAATTACCTAAGACTCCAATCGAAGTAATAGAGAGTACCATTGCATATTTATTCATTTACGCATTCATTCAGCACATGTTTTCTGTAATTGCTATAGAAAGCATGGCATAGTAATTAAGAATTGGGCTGCTGTATGGAGGTTCCTCATAAAACTAAAAATAGAGCTGCCATATGATCCAGCAATCCCACTCCTGGGCATATATCCAGACAAAACTATAATTCAAAAAGATACATGCTGGGGCTTCCCTTGTGGTGCAGTGGTTAAAAATCCATCTGCCAGTGCAGGGGATGTGGGTTCAAGCCCTGGTCTGGGAAGATCACACATGCCGCCGAGCAACTAAGCCTGTGTGCCACAACTACTAAGCCTGCACTCTAGAGCCCACGAGCCACAACTACTGAGCCCGTGTGCCACAACTACTGAAACCTGCACGCCTAGAGCCCATGCTCTGCAACAAGAGAAGGAATGAGAAGCCCATGCACCGCAATGAAGAGTAGCCCCCACTCGCCACAGCTAGAGAAAGCCCGCGTGCAGCAACGAAGACCCAATGCAGCCAAAAATAAATAAATAAAATAAATAACTTTATTTAAAAAAAAAGATACATGCACCCCTATGTTCATAGCAGCACTATTTACAATAGCCAAGACATGGAAACAACTTAAATGCCCATCAACAGATGAATGGATAAAGAAGATGTAGTGTGTGTGTATATATATATATATATATATATAATATATATATATATATATAATATATAATGGAATATTACTCAGCCTTCAAAAAGAATGGAATAATGCCATTTACAGCAACATGGATGGACCTAGAGATTATCATACCAAGGGAAGTAAGTCAGAAAGAGAAAGACAAACACCATATGATATCGCTTGTATGTGGAATCTAAAATACAACACAAATGAACAAAACTACAAAACAGAAACAGACTCACAGACATTGAGAACAGACTTTTGGCTGCCAAGGCAGGGGGAGGGGGTAGGGAAGGGAAGGAATGGGAGTTTGGGATCAGCAGAGGCAAACTATTGTATACAGGATGGATAAACAACAAGGTCCTACTGTAGAGCACAGAGAACTACACTCAATGTCCTATGATAAACCATAATGGAAAAGAATATATAAAAAAAGAATGTATATATATGTATAACTGTACAGCAGAAATTAACACAACATTATAAATCAACTATACTTTAATAAAATTAAAAAAAAAGAATGTACAGTTATACATATATATATGTATAACTGTACAGCAGAAATTAACACATTATAAATCAACTATACTTTAATAAAATTAAAAAAAAAAGAATTGGGCTGCCAGTGCTTGGCTACATGGATTGGAATCCCAACCCCACCATTTACTGTCCCTGTGACCTTACTTCCCCTCTATGTACCAAGTGTAACAAAGGGATAAAAATAGTACCTATTTCAGAGGGTTGTTCTGAGGATTAAATGGATTAAAACAGGTGAAGCCCTGAGAACAATGCCTAGCAAACAGTCAGCACTTTGTCATGTTAGCCTCTATTCTTTTTTTTTTTTTGCAGTACGCGGGCCTCTCACTGTTGTGGCCTCTCCCATTGCGGAGCACAGGCTCTGGACGCACAGGCTCAGCGGCCATGGCTCATGGGCCCAGCCGCTCCGCGGCATGTGGGATCTTCCCGGACCGGGGCACGAACCCGTGTCCCCTGCATCGGCAGGCGGACTCTCAACCACTGCGCCACCAGGGAAGCCCAGCCTCTACTCTTATTAATACTACTAGGAGTAGTATTTCATGAGCACATTTAAAAACAGATGGCATTAGTGTCAAACACTAACTAACACTGGTCAAATGGTAACACAAGAAACTCAAGATTTTTAGGAACTGATTAACTAGCTTAGGATTAGCCAGGGTATTTTTTTTTTCTGGTTGCCTCTAAGAAATTGTTTATTGACCTCCATATCAGAAGATGATTAAGAAAAATTAAAAGGAAGAACACCCAAGTTAGTTATTTTTTTCTCATATGGAGTTAACTAAAGAGATTTGATGGGAAAGGAATTTGAAACTGTAGGCTAAAATGCCACGTGGACAGGGTTGTGATGTCTGACGTGGCCTCAGTAACAACGCCAGGGCACCTGAGCTCTAGAGCATCTGTATTTACCTCTTTACTACACTGCTCACATTGAGTTGTATTCCTTAGTTCATTTGTCTTTGAGCTCCTTAAATAGACGTATTTTGTTTTTTTCAGCCCCATGTCTTTGGCATCTATCTCCCGGTGGTATAAGTAATAGCACCTCCCACATGTCAAGTATATAATGGAGACAGAAGAGTGGGTGAGACAGACAATCCTGCCCACAAAGACAACGGAGAGGGATTCAGGCAAGGAGACACTGTGATATACGGTGACAGTGTCACAAAAGGAGAAGCACAAGGTTCTTGGAAGGCAACCAGGAGTGATACCCAGACTGGTGTTTATATAGACAGATTCTCTACAACTGTCATAAACCAAATGCCTGGAAACACTGGCTACCATTAACACCAGCAGCTGTGTAATACGAAGATATGCATGAAAAAAATCTGCAGCTACTTGAGATCTTTAAAACATTCTTATAACCAAACTGTGGGAGAGTTGAAAGGTGTTTTTCCTGAAAGGAATAAAATTGACGTCCTCACATTCTAACTTGCTAAAGTCAGATATCACAGTTTTCAAGTGCAATTACTCTTATACCTGACTTAATTTTACCTTTTCCCCACATTCTTGTTGCTCCAGAATAGGCAAAGAGATCACCTTTTTCATCTAAAACCCATTTTGGGGTTTATGAGCTGGGTCTCCACAGGAATGCAATTTTCAAAGTCCAAAGAAGTAATGGGATTTAAAAGACCATCCATGTCTAGAGCAAGGAATCACATCCCATACCTTCGGTAACCCCCAAGGACAGACTCAAGACTCTGGCTCTATGACAAATGTTTTCAATGTCTATCTTTCTTGTCCTTTCATTTGACTGTAAATTTCAAAGAATGATTAACTCCACTTATTAAAAAATGAAAGGGACCACCACTGCAGGAGAAAAATACCTTCTAGATGTTTATTTAAAACAAATTCCACCTTCTCTGGAAGGGCAATGCATTTATCTTAAAAAGGAGTATCCTTAATCCCTCAAGTTCAATTTCATTTACCTCATCTGGCTAGATGTCCTGACCTAAGCGGATCACTCCCAGTCTCTACTGATTTGTGAGATCCAGAGGAAATGAATACGAGC